GGTTAAGAACTGAGTTAAGATACCTTCACCTTAGACACAGAGACAGAGAGAAGGGAAATACCGAGAGCGAGAGAGAGAGAGAGAGGGTTTACATCAGTATGTACATAGATAAATACACCCATGGGTGCTGGTGGAACTTCGCTAAGATGCCTTTGACTTAGATATCGAGACAGAGAGAGGTAGGTGGAACGGCAACCTGTAGGAAAAGCAGCATCAGCAGCAGCAGCAGCAGGAGGAGGAGGAGGAGGAGGAGGACAGCTTACTTAATTATTAATTAACTAATATTGTAAGGGAATTGCTCACCCGAAGGGATCTCCTACAACCAAGAAAGCAACATCTGTGTTTCGAGCAAGCTCAAGGATTTCCTCCGCCTTCTGCTCGACCATCTCTCGGTCCGCCACCACCAACTCTTTTCCATAAAGTGCCTCCTGCCATGTCATCCACCCATCCACACATCCACGTCAGCCGAAAGGTCATGCAGGATTGGAGCATAGCAAAGGGGGGAGCGGGGGGGGAAGGGGAATCACCCTCCGCCACAAAGATGAACTCGTACCACGGCACCAAGAGCATTACGAAGAAGAAAAACATCAACCGCAACATCCCCAAAATTACCAAAAAACAAGAGATTGCAACAAAACCTAGATGTGTCACAACAAGCTACCAAAATAGTCGGGGGCCGTCACAAAGGACAAAGAAAACCTAGGTAACACCGTAAAGGCATGTACTCACACTTCGACTACATGAGATGTAGTTTTTTTCTTTTTCTTTAAAAAAAAAAAAAAGGGCTTGACTACAATCATCGCCAGATTCAGTCGAAATTCCGGCTGCATTATCTCAACATCCAAAAAGATGCAAATCCAGATGAGAGCCAAATAAAAAACCACCAGGCTGACTTGCTGTTTGGTGCTTTGTGTGGATAAGACTTTCATAGGTTTGAGATGGGCTTCGAACCCGGGTACTGCGGCTTCGAACCCGAGTACTGTGACGAGTAAGGGCTTCGAACCCGAGTACTGCGACTGGTAAGGGCTTCGAACCCGAGTACTACATCTCAAACCAGCCGAGTACTGTCTCAGGAAACCAGCAACAGCTGTAAGGGCTTCGAACCCGAGTACTGCGACTGGTACAGTCTTCCCCCGAATACAACGTACGGTCATTATAGCTGAATTGGGGGTATCTTTCATTCTAAATACGGCTATAATGACCGTACGTTGTATTCGGGGGAAGAAGGTAGTCTTTGCTATTTGCCTTTTTCGATTTGACGCGTTTTGTCATTACGGGGGGTTTTGAACCCAAGTTTCCTTTTGCGGCTTGTATGGGCCACGGTCCCGGTACTTGGCCCTTTCGGGCCTACGTTGTTGGTACCCATGGTCCAGGTCGGGTACAGTACATTTTGCGTAGTACTTAGCAAAGTTAGCATTGATGGAGCAGTTGTTCAGCCTTCAGGACTGACGAACCGGAGCTGTTGACCGTTTCCGGAGACTGGGTCCATGGTGAAGGATGGAAGCGGGTTGCCGGGAAGTTTGACTACCATCTTCCCCCGAACATAACGCACCCTAAAAATGAATGTATACAAGCTATATTTCCAGCCAGATACAGCCAAAATAAGGGTGCGTTGTGTTCGCGGGAAGACGGTATTGTGGGGAAGAAGGTGGGAAACCCCCTGACGAGGACAGCTTGGCAGCTGTTGAAACGCGGCGGCGGCGGGGACACCTATCCGAATGCTGTACGTACTTCTTCCTATCTGAATTGTTACAATTGCTTCTTGTTTCAACTTCATTGTGGAAGAGGACTGTCTCTTATACACATCTAGATGTGTATAAGAGACAGAAATAAGGGTGCGTTGTGTTCGCGGGAAGACGGTATTGTGGGGAAGAAGGTGGGAAACCCCCTGACGAGGACAGCTTGGCAGCTGTTGAAACGCGGCGGCGGCGGGGACACCTATCCGAATGCTGTACGTACTTCTTCCTATCTGAATTGTTACAATTGCTTCTTGTTTCAACTTCATTGTGGAAGAGGATGATGCACGGACCAGCGAAGCATACGGCGAAACCATTGTGTAAGTCGAGTCACATGTATAGGGTGTCGACGCTGGCAAGCACGAGTGTAACAAGTCCATCCTCGGGCCAATGTCGAAGGAGCATGGCCACGGGAAAGCAAACGGCGGACAAGCATGGCTGCCCCAGTTCTGAAATCATGCCAATTGTCACAAATCTGCTCAAAATGAGTAAGCTGGCCGGTGAACCCAACCACTTCCTGAGGGTAGTAACTATACTACCTCAGGAGGCTTTACTGTAAATGTCTTACAGTTAGCGTTTCACGGTCGCCACCTTCTTATGCATCATGCGACGCCAGCCGATGACCTTAATGACCATCCTCATATTTCTGCCTGCATTTTGCACAGATCCGGGCATTATATGGCACTCATTCGTGCAGCTGCCCAGTGGGAACTGTGGGATAGTGGGACGATGATTCAGGCGTCACCATAAATGAATTTTTGCGTGCATTGCCGAATCATACTTTATTCTGGATTATTGACCGACTCTCGTGTGACACCTGTCGGGACAGGGACGCGGTGCGCCTTGGCTGTGGAATTCATCATCTATGCCATTACCATTATCAATCTATTGGCGTCGCCGCCATCTGTGCCGAAGGGTGTCCAACATTTCCTCACTGTACACATCCCTATCAGCCAGATATTAGTTGTCCACTTTGTGCGCAAGGACGCTATCAGGACTGCATGATGCTGCACTGTGATGAACGTCCTGCTGTTTTTTTGACATGTGGATAGCATGTCCTTTGTCAGGACTGTTTTGATGGGATGGTCCGTGCTAGCCATCCTGCTGAATGCTGTGCTGGCGCAGCTCTCCTTGGGTGTCCTTGTGAACATCCACGCCATCCTCAGCATGCCTGTCCTATATGACGGGGTGGGGGCTCCTCTTCCTGACTGGTCAATAGAATCAAGCAGGTCAGGAGCAATACTAATTGTAGGACAGATAAAGTTTTCGACACTACCAACAGATGCGGAGTTGAAGAAAGAAGAAAGAAAAAATTGCAAAAACGAAAAGAAAAAAAGAAAAAAAGAACAGATTGCTGTGTAATGACCCGCCAAAAACACAGACTGAGAACACTGCTGATTTCTGGGATTTGCCAATGGAATGAATGCCTTGCTGTGATTCCCGCATTCTGCTGTGGTCCCAAGTCTGTGTGTATGCGTGCCTGCTGGTTTGCATGCCTGTCTGAGTGCTTGCCGGTTGTGTGTGTGTGCGTGCCTGCTGGTTTGCATGCCTGTCTAAGTGCTTGCTGGTTGGGTACGTGTGTGTGACCCGCAAGGGTACTTGTTGGTTGCAAGGCCCACCAGGCCGGTACTTACCTGTGGCCGTGACTTGGAAGGGTTGCAGGGGGGTAAACACACCGGTAGCGGGGAGTAGGCCCACGGCACTTAGAGCAGCTGGGGAAAAACACTCAAGTAGCAGGTAGGCCGAGCAGAAGAAGACAAAAGTTGGCATTTTTAGAGGCCCAGTAGCGGTAGGTTAGAGGTAGGCCGGTACCAGTCCAAGTAGCCCGGGTCTAGGGCCTGTGCGGACAATAACAGAGCCCGCAATGATGTTTCCCTCCAAAAGGGAGGAGGTACCGGTTGCTGGGAGGCCGCTTGGCCTAGGAAGTCACCGCCCAGGAGGCCGGTAGGCCGCTGTATCTTCAGGAAGAGCGGAGAGCTCTTCCTCATTTGCGGTATGCAAGGATTGGCGACATGCTGCTGGAGCGCAGCGCTGGACTGAAGCAGCGCTGCTTGGAGGTGAAGGTCCGCTGGGGCTCAGCCTGGCTAWGGCGAGCACCCCAGCYTGAGRASGAGGAAGAAGGGGGCATGGTAGGAGAGTGGTAGGGCACTTACCTGGCTATGGTGGACACCGTCTTCATCACCTTGTTGGGCGCTGCATCTGGAAGGCCCCAGTTGGGGTAGCACTGCACCAGGGCAGCTCGAGGCAGAGTCAGGCATAGCGGACCAAGTCAAGCAGCGGCATAGCTGCTTTGGGTTGTCTTCTGGACATCAGGCCAGCACCATAGCTGCCACCCAGTAGTCCGCCATGGCCTATGCATGAGAGAGGAGGTTGAAGGAGGGAAGACATAGCCATGGTGGACTTGTTGTTGTTGTTGTTGTTGTTGTGAGTTGAGTCAGGAGTAAGGGGGAACTTCGGACATTGATTCTGGTTCATCCATTCATTGTTATTATTATTATTGAGAGAAGAATAAGATTGGTGAAGAGAAGGAGGAAGGAGGAAGGTGGAGAGAGAAGGGGGAATTGTCATTGGTCTTGCTGGTGTTCTTCTTCTTCTTCTTCTTCTTCTTCTTCTTTAACTCTCCTCTGGTCTTTATCTCTTTGCAAGTGCTTTCATTTCTTTCGCAATTGGGTGGCATTGTCTTTCATTGTGAATTGCACGTGGGAAATGACCAGGATCGTAACAGCTGAAGAACAACGAAAAAATTATGTTGAACTTTGTTGTGACAGTGGCATGCTGGGGGCGGCAAAAGACGGGGACGGGATGTTGGGGAGGGACGGGATGTTGGGAAGGGACGGGATGTTGGGGAGGGCCGTGATGGGGAGAATGAACAGGTTCTTCTTCATCCAAGAACAGAGATGGAGGTGAGGCTGGGGAGTAAGTCGAGGCCGGCATCCAGGACGGCGAAGTAGGTGTTCCGCAGAGGCAGATGAGACAGACGGAGAATAGGATGACAAAGTCTGTGTGGACGAAGCGGTTTGTGGATCAGAAAGAGGGGTAACGGATGGAGACAAAACCAGGGGAGGTAGGAGCGGTGAAGACGGGGGTGGTGGAGTAGTAGGAAGGTGGGTAACAGACGGAGACAAAACCACGGGAAATAAGGGCAGTGAAGCCAGGGGTGGTGAAGCCAGGGGTGGTAAAGTGGTTGAAGCAGAGACGGGGGGCAGTCACAGGTGAGACCCGAAGAGGGGACTCTGTAGGTGGCAATGCAGACAGGGCCACGAATGCCATGAAGGAACACATCGAGACCAAAGGCAACACAGCAGCCGCTGGTTGAGTTGCGCCCGCGGAATCAATCGTAGAAGCAACCAAGACCGATGAGGAAGAAGCTGTGAACCAAAAAAGGGCAGGCAGGGTCACAAACGGCATGGAAGGGGTTACTAAGACTGATGAGGACGCAGGTGCGACAGGCGCAGGTAATTAAGAGGAGGCTGTGACATATGTGACAGGCGCAGGTAATGAAGAAGAGGCTGTGACAGGCGTAGTTCGGGAGCAGCGTGTAGATACACGAGAAAGTGGGTGGTGAATAGACCATCGAAGCATGCTGCGAAACCAGTTGGAGAGGCGGGTCACGTGCGCAGGGTACCTGTGTTGACGTTTATGAATATAGGAAGTCCATCCTTTCGCAAGCGTTGTTGGAGAGTGCCTACGAAAAAGCATGCGGCGTGTGAGCATCGCAGTTGCAGTTTTGAAATCATACGAGTTGTTGCAGACATACTCAAACCTAGTAAGCTGGCCTGTAAACACTCCCGCCAGCTGGTGTGCGGGGACATTAGACATAGCACTGGGATAACGAATAACAGGGAAATTCCATTTGGCTGCTTTGTCGAAGACACTCATACGCAGGGAACCGTCAATGAGGACTTGGAGGCGTGCACCCAAGGATGTGCAAGAGCCATCAGGCGTTGTGGTCTCCTTCCATTCGATGCCATAGTGCTCTGACGGTGGTGGCAAATGTCCCCATGAGAGAACATCATCGATCAAGCGGTATGCGAAAGCATACTGTTGAGAAGATCACGCTGCTGGAGGTCATTAACAAAACGAGCCTCATCCCAGTACAATGTCAAATTAGCTATCTGCAGACCAGAATTAGTCCCCCTTGGGATGCCAATCAGCTAATGTCGCAAGGTGCCGTCCGCTGCATAAAGATACATATTAGTGACAATGAAACGGAGATGTTCAAGAATTTGGAAAACGGACAAGGTGTTTGGTCCCGCATGAACAGTCCACTCCCCTTGACGGGGCCCTTTAACAGTCATGTTAAGGGTAGGAGGATGCGTGCGCCCCTGCGTGTGCTGTTGTAAGGCATATGTATAGGCTTCCTCAACCGCTTTTGACACATTATGACAAAATACGGTCATGAGGAAGATTGGTATACATAGTTGTGAAGTCAACAGTGTGAGAAGCATGGTCACGAAGAGAAGATAAATTACGTTTGAGATCAAGCATCACCTCCTCAGCGCTTTGCACCATCCAGCACCGTCTCACACCGTATTGCTGATACAACAGATTATCCTTCTCACGGAGAGTTTCAACGACTCCTTGTAGTGCAACGCTGAGGCGGGCAGAATTGACGGTAGTACTGGCCAAGGGTTTGTGGGGAGGTCGGTGGTGGACTGCATGAATAGACGACGCAGTTGATCGAGATCACTGCGGTGGGGAGAGATTGTCACACTGTGAATCGGAGCGCAAAGGCGGAAAAGGACAAAACAAAAAAAAGGACAGAAGTACGGAAGGAAAGCTCCGCCTGTTCATCACCTCTTACCTACAAGGCCAGTCACGTGGATGACAGGTTGAGCGTTGGCTGCCCCCATCCCCGTGTGTCACAAGGACCCCCTTGCACGCAGCCAAAAGGCAAAGAGGTAAAGAAAAGGAGGAGAACACCAAACCTCACAGAGGCAAGAGAAAGAGAAAGGGATCCAGTCAAAGAAAGGACAAGCGAAGAGGAAGGCCTATCAGTCAAACAAAGCAAATGACACATCCCACAGATAAACCAATTGCCACTGTCATTTTTTTTTTATTATTTTTTTTCTTTCCTTCAGCAATTCGTTCTTTTTTTTTTTCCGTTTGTTCAGTTTTCTCTTTCTTCTTTCTTCACCTCCGTATCTGTTAGTAGTGTCGAAAGCTTTATCTGTCCTACAATTAGTGTATGCATAGCCAAACAGAGCTGCCCGGTAAACCATAGGCAGAGAGGGATGCAATGACTTGCTGTTTTCTGGTCGCCTGTAGCCTCTCTCTGTCGAGGCTGTACTATAGGTAGGACAAATTTGTAATTTTGTTTGGCTGAGGGCTAACCGAGAGACCTACCTGTGAGGGAAATTCTTGAGGGACATATCTGCAAATCCGGGAAAACACAGGCCCGGTACTAACAGGATTCCCTACAGCTACCTAACTGCGCATAGCAGGCCCGGGCTACCCCGAGTACAGACAGGCCCTAAGGGCCTATTCTGATAGACGGTCCTATAGCCTATAGACGGGTTTAGTGGAGGCCGAGAGGCCGAAACAGATAAGGTACCGGTCGGTCAGTCAGTCCGGTCAAGGTCGGGGGTAGGCTAGTCGTAGTCTATAGATAGATTGGGCACATCGGTTCAGGGCTTTTGGCAGTTGGTACCGAGTACATCACTGCTGTGCTACGCGTGAACCGGAAGTGGTGACGGCTCAGCGTGGAAGGAGACAGGCATAGCCAGACCTTTGGAGCGCCAGCCATAGCTGGGACCTGTGCTGTACTCTGCCAGCACGCAGGGGCTGACAGAGGTCTGGGTTATCGAGGTCTGCTGGAGGCAAGAGAGATTGGTGCCCTGCTGGACCCTCCTCCGGAGTGGGGTCCCATGGGGTTTGCGCTGCAGCCATAGCTGCAGCTTCTTCATCTCAGAGGTCATCTTGTCAGGGTTTGGTGGTGCTGCTGCAGACTTCCACCCGGGAAGTCTCCCGACACTTCGTCATCATCAGATACTGTGGCACTGGTCTTCTTCTTCATCCTCTGAGTGGCGCTTGGCCTCAGAGGCCTGTTTCAGGGTGGTGCTTGATGTTTCAGGGACTCAGGGGGTGTTACGGGTGCACTGTGGTACTGAAGTTATCCTGACAATTCGAGACTCTGAGTTTAATAAACAGTGTGATACTGTGTTTGGACTATCATCGTTTCATTGTTCTCTGGATGTGATCTGCTCGGCTTTTTCTCTATGACTGGTTGTGAGGATTGAGTGGAGTGAATTGCACTTTCAGTGTACCCTGTCATATCGCATGGTCAAGTCTTCCGCTGTGTTTATCTCTCCATGTGCGGTGTGATACTCCTATCATCTCCCCTTCCTTCTGTGTATGTATGGGCATACCTGGAAGTCTATGTGAGTGAGTGTTGGCCTACAGGCAACGAACAACCAGAATCATAACAGGGAGAAGAGTATATTGAGTATCCGAACATGACTTACCAACTTGGGCTTGTCGACCAATAAGATGGAAGTGTATGCTTCGAGGTACACGTGGCTGCATCTCTTCACGACCTCCAAGCCCCGAAGGGTAATGTCCCGTTCATCTCCCAATCCCAACCCAATCAAGTACAGCATGATTGGATGATAATATAAATGCTGACGGATCAAGATAATGACGTGACGGGAGGAAGTCTCCACTGCAACAAGACACAAAACGACAAAACAAAGAAACACAAAACCCCGACGATTCATCCAGGATTAAGAAACCAAACACGTGTCAAATATTAGCTAGCAAAGCGGGGGGCGGGGCGAGGGGGGTGGGGGAGGTGAAGGAGAAAATTTTAAAAAAGGGTAACGGGCAAGCTTGCACCTGAAAATACCGTCATCTACCACTTTTAGCATCCTTCCTTCAGATTTCCTGTTCTCTATTTTACACGTCCTTAGATCCTTCATATCCTCTCTCTCTCTCTCTCTCTCTCTCTCTCTCTCTCTCTCTCTCTCTCTCTCTCTCTCTCTCTCTCTCTCNCACACACACACACACACACACACACACACACACACACACACACAAAATGACCGATGACTTCCATCCCTCCTCGCCTCCTGCCGTTTCCAATCGCACATCATTCTAGATTTGCTCCTCCTCTTGCACAATACTCCGAGAGGGCATGATTGGTAGCCCATGATATCATCATATCACGGACATGATGTTCCTCAGAAAGAAAGAAAGAAAGAAAGAAAGAAAGAAAGCAATGAAACAGCAATACCAAGAGTACAAAGATGAATGTACACCGAACCCGAGAGCACGTAGTACTCAAACGAGTTTACACTCTCGAAGAAACGCCATCGTTGCTAAGGTCGATCCATCCAAGCATGCATATATTCGAACGACTGAAATATAATCGAAACCAGTATCGCAACGCAATACAAATTTCCAGTCATGCAAATCCCCTCTGCTTGGCCACCCACTTACTTCTATTTCGAATTCCTTTTACCGATCCGTTGGAAAACTTGGTATAGGCAAAGGCAAAGGCAAAGGAGATTGCAGCCATGGCAGGAATATCAGCGAATCAAGTCGATTTCATGCCAAACAGGCCGACACCCACCCACCCACCCACCCACCCACCCACCCACCCACCCAAACACACACATTCACAGAGTGCCCAGCTACCATACTAGAATCGTAAAAAGGTGAATAGTTATCCGTCTTGTTTTGATTGTTGTTGTTCTTATTCTTCTTCGTCTTCTACTTCTTCTTCTTCTTCTTCTTCTTCTTCTTCTTCTTCTTCTTTGCTCAGGGTGGATTGCTTCAGTGGATGCGGAAGTGTGTTTGCCCCTTGATAAGTCCTGGTGCCCAGCCAGGCGTGACCCGTCAGGGAATGTGCGCATTGAGCAGATAGTCCGTGTAGGTGCTTCATTGACATCATCGAGACGCATAGAGATTCGCCTCTATTTCAATTCAATTCAATTCTTCGTCTTCTTCTTCTTCTACTACTACTACTACTACTACTACTAGTACTTAGTAGTAGTAGTAGTAGTACTACTACTACTACTACTAGTACTTTGCTAGTAGTTCTTCTAGTAGTAGTAGTAGCAGTAGTAGTAGTAGCAGCAGTAGTAGTAGTAGTAGTTTCTTTTTTTTTTCTTTTTTTTTTTTTAATGGAAAACACCCCTGCAGTGCTAGTGGTGCTGACAAGGCCAGACACCACTAGCACCCGGGGGGAGGCTCCATCTATTGGTGGGGAGCATCACCTGCTGGAAAACGGGTCCAGCGTCCCATTACAGCTTGCATTGCAGAATGAATACAGACTGGATCAATAGAACTTGACTGTGAAACCTGCCAGCATTGATTGCTCTGGCCACCAGAGGATTGACTGTGCAGGTTGTTAAGGAAGGGGAGAAAACCTAGTAGTAGTAGTAGTAGTAGTAGAAGAAGAAGAAGAAGAAGAAGAGGAGAAGAAGGAGAAGAAGAAGAAGAAGGAGAAGGAGAAGAAGAAGCAAGCACGATCGTTATGAACTGGTGGTGAAGCAATACTCGTAGAAGAAGGCAAGACGAAGATGATGACGACAAGTAGAGGTGGCACTGATGGCAGTAGTAGAGTGCAGATGATGGTGATGATGAGGAGGATGAGGAGGAAGAGGATGCGGAAGACGAGGAGGAGGAGGAAGAGGATGCGGAAGACGAGGAGGAGGAGGAGGAGGAGGAGGAAGAGGACATGACAAGGATGATGATGATGATTAGAGTGTAGTGATGGTCAGGAGTGCCTGTAAAAGTAGAGATGCTTACGGTGGATAATGATGATGAACATAATGATGATGATGATGATGATGATGACGGGAGTAGCACGGGAAGCGCTGGCAATAGAGTAGATGTAGAATGAGCTTATAATATGACCATGATCCTGGTATTGATGATCATGATGAGGAGGAGGAGGAGGCGGAGGAGGAGGAGGGAGGAGGAGGAGGAGGAGGAGGAGGAGGTCCGACTGCAGTGGCGGTGCATTTGGCCGGGGGGGAGAGGGGGGGGATCGTGATAATGACCAGACGAAGAAGAGGAACAGCACAAGGAGGAGAGATTGTGATAATTATGACAATGAATGTGGTGTTGTACAAAGTGCAAGGACAATATTAAGAGACGTTTTGGGTTAAATTCGGCCGTAATTACGGTCAGATGCATAGAGAAAAGCGATCTATGTATAAGATAGAACGATCGCCTCCTTGCTAGATCTCCTTCTAGGTCTTTTCTGGGGCCAGATTTGGCCGTAATTACGACCAGATGCATTAAGAAAACCGATCAATGTATAAAACAGAACAATTGCCTGCTCTCTAGATCTCCTTCTAACAAAGTAAGTCTAGCTCTTCTCCTGCGCCATGGTCCCACTACTGGTAGCAATGACGATTGGATTTAACGCCCGAATCTGGACTTGTTTGTGGACAGGTCCATAAAATCGCGGTTGATCTGCTTGTCTGCATCTCTGCGTAAAACACATCCAGATTCATGCAGTTCATCCAATCCTCTTTGCTAGTGGGACCTCGCCCCTGTGCTCGATCGATCACTCCTTTTTTATTTATTTTTTATTTTTTTTTGGGCAGGGGCATGCGCTCTCAGTCGGCATTCGTGTTTTCTATCTTTTTTTTTTTTCCTTTTTTTTTTGTTCTTCGAACTTCTTTCCCACTTGAAAGTCATCGTTTTTCCTCCTCTGTTCTTTTTTCTTTTTTTCTTTTTTTTTTGGCGGCGGGGGAGGGGGAGGGGGGAGATCTCCTCCATTCGATATATCTTTCGCTATTTCTTTTTTTCTTTCTTTTTTTTTAAGAAATTTCTAGGTTATCGTCCTGCAGGTCTTCACTCTCGGTGTGCACTGGGGTCATCACCCAGCTTCGGCTTTGCTCGAAATAACCAACCAAATTTTTTCATTTTTATTTTTTTTCAATAACCAACCAATTTTGCCCTTCTTCTCTCCTAATTTTTGAACTGTAACTATCGTTTCCCCGCCTCCCTCCCCTCTTCTCTGTCCTTGTCCCCTCCTCCTCCTCTCATCCAATCCTCGCCTCTTCTAGCGGCAA